ATTTTGTGCAATTTTGGTGATCTCTTGAGGATATTGAATGTTGAAAAGAATTGCAACATAGTTGCGAAGATCTGGTGGAAAGGACAATCTGTAGGAGGGAATTGTTACTATTTGTTAGATACAGGTGCTTCTAAGTTTGTAATTCTTATGGAAATGGCAGAATTCGGGTCTGCATGATTCCAGGGCTAATGTGATGGGAGTCGTGTAACTAGGGTAGCTCGGGCCTAGTAAATTAGTGCTGCCGATTCTTCTTCTACAATGCATACCCTGGAGCATGTGTCAGGAAGAGAAAGCTCATTAAAAAGGCGGGGTCGTTCTGGGGAGGAATAAGGCTGATGCGACGGCAATTGGGGCGGAGACGATGGAGGAGATTGACTTAGAAATGGGACCAGGGTACGATGATGGGACGCACTTCGACTCTGGGGCAGCCCAAAACCTCGCAATCATCGGCGTGAATGATCATGGATTGAAACCAGCGCCTCGGAAGAAAAAGAAAGTAGTGAAGAGGTGGCGCGACGAGTGGGCGGAGACGTACAAATGGGCCTACGTTGCTGTTCATGAGGGCTCCCATCGCATATTTTGCTCTGTATGCAAGGAATATGGAAGGAAGCACCGACGCAATCCTTACGGCAATGAAGGCAGCCGTAACATGCAGATGAGTGCACTCGAGGAGCACAATAACAGTCTGTTGCACAAGGAAGCTCTCCGCCTTCAGATGGCTTCCCGCGACAGAGGAATGGGAATCGTTGAGCGGCCTCTCTACGTAAAGGGTATGCTTCTGAAAATAGATGTGTTTATGGAGTCTAGAGCGACAGATTTTTTCTATGTAATCTACATCCCTTGGTATTTGACTTCGAAAATATTGATTGTAATGGCAAAGGCAGCTCCTGTCACGGTTTATGGAATCATGTTCTTTTTCCAGTCTTCAATGGTGCACAGAACGTGACTTTACACTTGCCGAAGGTTGAACATGTAGTAGTAATCATGGTGACGGAGACTTTTATCACCTCCACAACGTATTGTTGGGAGTCAAAGACTTACAGCTTGCTATCGGTGAACTTCATGTCTGAGGACGGTTGTTATGCCGTGCAGTTGAGGGCCAGCCTTAGACATCTGGTATCAAAGGAATGGTTTAGATTTGATAGTTCGCTTCGCATGGACGTGAGAAGAGGATTTGTAAAGTGACCTATTTGCTGCCTGTCAGATGTGTCGAGGCAATGTACAAACGAAGGCTACTTTCAACATACTGTATCTTCGTGTAAGTTTATCGTCTCTTTCATTCGTGGTTCTGGAGATCATCCTCCATGTTCCAGATGTCATCATAACGTCTTTGTTTATCATTGCGGCAGTTTTGTATTTTTTCCTTTTAAACCTAAGCATAGCGAAGAAGGACCGATGGTTGGAGCGGGCAAAGTAGATCGTGCACCTTTCGCTTATATATTAGCTAGTGATCAGTTAGAAGCTGGCAAGACGGTAATGAATTGTGATTGGTCTAAACCTTCGACTTCGTTCGACCAACATCAGACTTGGAATCTGGGTGTTAGAGGATGCTGTCGGACAAAGCTTCAACAATTTTAGCTATATTCGCGTTTGGTTGCTGGAGCTAGAATGGAACTGCAAGTTTAGAGGTTGAACAAAGTCTTGTTTCCTCGTCGCGCACACCATGGAGAAGAGTTGTTTTTATTTTATTTCATTTTCATTATTGGTTAATAATTTTTCTCCTCTAAAAGTGCAGTATCTATTTTAGCAGCTATCTTGCGGCGGGATCCGCATGAAGTGGAATTCATACAATCAATTCAAGAAGTTGTGCATTCATTGGAACCTGTTCTTGCAAAAGTTCCGCAGTAAGCCAAGCTCGCACCATGTCTTGTGGCATACTTTTACTTATCTTTTGGACGAGAAAGGTTTACTAATGCTTGTTAGGTTGTGGTTTGAGTTTGGAGTCTTTGTATCATATGTTTTAGAATATTACCAATAGGATTCTCAATATGAAAATTCACGACACTTCTCAGTGCATTGATTACGAATCAGTTGTTATGATGTATAATCTGGGAGACGACAGATTATGTTATTGGGAGAGACTAGAATAGTTCCTGATACGATTAGCTGTGGCAGGTATGTACATGTGTTCGAGCGACTTGTGGAGCCTGAGAGAGTAACTATTTTTAAAGTTCCTTGGGTAGACGACAAGGGAGAGGCACATGTGAATCGTGGTTTCAGAGTTCAGTTCAACCAAGCGCTTGGTCCTTATAAAGGCGGTCTACGCTTTCATCCAACTGTCAACCTCAGCGTTGTGAAGTTCCTTGCTTTTGAACAGGTCATTAATCAATCCGTTTTATTAACAATTCAGTTCAGTGTCTATTCTTCTCACACTTCTGGGCACACTTTATATTCATTTCCAACCGTCTGTTTGATAAATTTTACAGTCCTTGCTCAGTGTTTTTTGCATCTGTTCATGTAGTTATCCCTAATTAAGACATATTAGCTCATGAATAGAGGCCAGGTATGTTAGGCTGTATAGACCTTATGTGAACGTCACTAATTTATTTTTTTCTCAATTACCATGCACTAAATTTTAGCACTATCACAGCTTTCTTTATGAGAGGAAATTGAACTGGAGAAATTGCAATAGTGCCTGATTTTTTATTTTGAAGACTTTACAAGGTTCGAAGGTGTAGAGTACTTACATTTAGGCATGATGTATGTAGCTTTAAGTTTGTATTTGTGCATATTGTACAGACATTGAGGAATTCACTATCATCACTTAGCTTGGGTGGTGGTCAGGGCGGCAGCGATTTCAATCCTAAGGGAAAAAGTGAGAATGAGGTGAGTGGAGTCATTTTAGGTGTACTACCTGGTCTATTTTCACGGCTTGATATCTGGTTTCGTTCTCGTTTTCACCTCCAGTCGTAAATTATTCCTGCTCAAATTTTAGACAGGCATTGTAGGTGTTCTTTATTTGAATATATTCTCTATCTACAATCAGGATTTTGTAAACTTCTATTTGCTTCTTCTTCTTGTTTTGTGAGAACACCAGTTGGATACTGTTATTTCAAACATGAACGATGCTGGATATTTATTGGAAGTAAGGGTCAGTTAAGATGATCTGTTTCCTTGTTTTTGCAGATCATGCGGTTCTGCTATAGTTTCATGGAAGAACTGTATAGACACATTGGACCTAACCAGGTTCCCATTTTTGTAAGTTCATTATCTTGATAATTACGTTTATGTCTGATTTTTCTGGCCGCTTCTTGTGAACAGTGGAAGAGGTTGCAAAGATTGCTAGGATGCGTGTCAGAAACTCATGCAGGGCACTTGATTGTCTCTAGGATACTCCATCTGGAGATATTGGTGTCGGACAACGTGAGATTGGTTACCTATTTGGCCAGTATAGGCGTCTAACAAGCCAATATGAGGTGACTTTTTAATTTCGTTACACGTCTGTCTTCCACTTACATCGGGTACTCCATGGTTGGTGGAGGAAAGTGCATTGCTATCCGTTTCACAGTCTAATGCAACATGGCAAGCTTTCTTGACGTGTTATTATCCAGTGGTATGCGTGACATTGAGTATGTTGCTGTTTTACCTCCTATTCGCTGCAAATTACAGGAAAGAAACCTTAAAAACCTATTATAATATGCTCGGTTAGATTTATTGTGATGCGAGAGATATTGGTGAACTTTTAATGAATTTTCAATCTTTTTATGGACAGGGCATTTTAGGTCCTAAAGGGATTCAATGGGGTGCGTCAAATCTACATTCAGAGGCTACTGGTTATGGCGTGGTACATATTTTCTTCTCTCTAGTATTCTAGGGATCTGGAAACAACTCTGAGGTCACATGATTGTGTAGCTGTTGTAGGATGTTTGGTTTGAATGGTATGCAAAAACCGTACTATTTACATGAGTGACTGTTCAGGGTATCAGAGTGTAGAATTTGTTTTGTATTTCCCAGGTGAGGAAGCAGTGAATCATTTTGAGTGCCTTTTCTTTTTCTTTCTTTTATTTATTTATTTTTCACTTTTCTTTCACTTTACCTTTCTTGTCGTATTCGAGCACATTCTGAGTGTCTTGTAATCTTGGTTGTAGGTGTACTACGCCAAGGAGGTGCTTGCCAGTTTAGAGAAAGATCTTAAAGGTCTCAGGTTCGTCACTTCTGAACTTTCCTCATTGATGTAATAATTTCTAAAATATCTATGTCTGATGCTTCTACTGTTAAGTCTCCCGTAAAGTAACCTACTTTTGTGTAGCTATTACCAACTTTAGTCATTCTGAAGTGTTCGTATTCTTGAGACTTCTACATTTCTTCTTGTTCGCTTTCAGGTGTGTTGTGAGTGGCGCAGGAAAAGTGGCATTATATGCAGTTGAGAAACTGATTGCCTTCGGTGCTATTCCTGTTACAGTCTCAGGTATGCTCTGTTATGAATAGGTCCAGCAGCGTAGTATCTGCTATGATATTCCTTACGTTAGCAGAATATGTCAAAACGGGCCATTGAACTAGAAGAATTGCTGAATCGTCAGGCCTTACATAGGACATTATTATAGTGAACTTTTATCTAAGACATTTTATTGAGATAAAATACTGCTGGACACTTGATTTCAGTGGCAATTTCTACGCCATCTTTTCTAAGTTTCTGTTAGATAAGCATCATCTGGAATTTATGTACGTGAATTCTGTGTTCATGATAGATACAAGCGGTTACATCTTAGATGAAGGTGGCTTTGATCGTGTCAAGCTTGGGTTTATTCGTGAAATAAAAGCTCATAATAAGTGCCTGAGGTAACTACTACTTTCAGTCCAATAATCCTTAAAGACTTGAACTCTCTACCTATTTTCTAAATCTATTAGTGATATATTGTTCCTGTGGAATAATCATGATCCTTGTTCCTTACGTGTTGAAAGTAGTTTTCGCCTGCATCATGTTCAGCGCTGAATAAATCTGTCCTTGGTAGTAGTAATCTTACAAAGAGTCGTCTGCAGGGATTATACCAAGAATTACTCAAGTGCAAAGTATTTTGAGGACATGAAGCCCTGGACAGTGAAGTGTGATGTTGCTTTTCCTTGTGCAACACAGAACGAGCTCAATCATGTTGATGCTCTGTCTCTCATTAATGTTGGTTGTCAAGTCATTATAGAAGGTATTTTACTCGTTAGAGCAATTTCCGGCTCTCATCTATCGAGAAAAGTATGATTTTGTCCGGTAGTGCATCTATTAGTGTTTGCAAAGCGTCAGAAGACGCATGAAATAGCCGAATGAGATTGTAGACCCTCTGATATGGGCTGGTCAATCTTCTTTTAAGGACCATCTTTGTTTTCTGGTTCCAGGGGCCAACATGCCATGTACCGCTGAAGCGATTGATGTATTTCGGAAGTCAAAAGTATGGTTTGGGCCTGGAAAGGCTGCAAATGCTGGAGGGGTAAGATTTTGATCCGACTGACCTTGCTAGGTTTTGCAGTAGCCAGGTTATTATTAAGATGGCTATCTTATGATCTGTGCGCGGGGTTTATGTTTTAACAAAATCCACATATTTAGCCTAAATTCGTAACTCAACGTAATAGTGCACTAGTGAACTGAAGTCTGATCAAACGACTAGGGATTTATAGTAGTTTGTGTAATCAATCCTCGTTTCTGTCATTCCATAGAGATGTCAGAACTACGCTTGGACCTGTGTACATATGATATAGCAAAGTGAGCATCAACAATCTCTTCTGACTGGCAGGTAACTATTCAAGGTCTGGAAATGTCGCAAAACAATTCCTGTGCTCAATGGACAGCTGAAGAAGTTGATACGAGATTGGAAGAGGTTATGAAAGATATATATCAAAAGTCTGTGAAGGCGGCCCAAGATTATGGAATTGGCAATCCAGAGTAAGTAGTTCAGTCAATAATTCCACAACTTTGTACCTTGCGTATCCTGTGGTTTTTCAACCATTTTGTACACTTGGATAGCTATTGTGGAAATATCTTAAAATATGCAGTAGCTGTGATGTAACCTCACGATACTAGTTTTCCTTTTTGGCTTGTAAATGGCAACGCTGAAAGTTTCATCAGGCGATTTGTTACAGTCCTCATATTCCATCTTAATGTTTCTTTTTTCTTTGTTTAGGGCTCTACTTGATGGCGCCAATATTGCGAGTTTTCTACGAGTTGCTCAAGCAATGTTGGAACAGGGTTGTGTTTGAAGCTGTGCATATTTGCGTACTTATGTCCACACCCCGCCCCTGGCCTTTGGCTGTTCTCTCATCCTCAACTCTCAATAATTAGTGATGACGCAGTTGCTACATCAGCAGGTGTCTTCAATGTTCAAACAAGCTTTAACATCTATGTGTTGTGCTCTGAGTGAAGCCGGGTTTTACAAGCTGGGTTATGCAAAGAGAAAGATGGGTGAAGAGGGATGTGGTTAGTGTAATGAAGAGAAGCGTTGCTTCCGGAGCATGCAACCCTGATAGAAAATGATCATGTGCATTATGTTAGGCTAGGAGGATATAGTTTCTGGGTTCAAATTATGAACTGCACTCCATCTTAATGTGAATCTACTTCAGGCAGTCCCCAGGATAGTTTTACACAGGTAACCCCTACAGGACAAAAGTGGCCCTGAGCACAACTCAGATGTGCTGTACTATGTGTCCTACAAATCTATTGCAATTAATCTTGAAAGAGTAGATTTGAAGTACAACACTGTATCTATCATAATGGACTACTTGTGAAAAAATATACTTGTGCATCAAAATGGATTCTTGTGGATGATCAGCCCATAAAATTTCTAACTTAAAATGAGATTCTACATCAAAATTAGACATGACTTCAAAGTGATCAATAACATTGATTATGCATTTCTAAACTGAATACAATGAAGTGATTTGAAGTATACCTGTGATCAACTAAATCATGTGTGATGTTCGTTGTAAAATATACTGCAAAATACAGCTAATGCTTCAATCAAACAAATCGTAGGATTCATATAAGCAGTATTGAAGCCATTATTAATCTATCATAATCAATAGAAATTCAATGAGGAAAAGTTGTGATGTACTTTTTGTTAAAATCCTTTATAAAATAATCATCAATTTAATATGAAAATCTATAATTTTTAAAATGATTTCATTTCTATTTATTTAATACTCTTTCTAAATCATACTATATAGATTACTTGGATTCTTAGTTGAATTTATCAAAGTCTTTCCAATCCAATTAGAATAAGAATGTTTTTGGTAAAGTTTAAATCATAAAATATTGAGTGGATAAATGAATTTATGCATATAAATATATTCAAATATCTAACATAACTATTTAATAATATTATTCATGAATTAAAAAATATCCAATAAATAATAATTAATTAGACAATGGTAGCATTAATTAGTAAAATATAAATATCAATTCTAAGATTTTTCTATATTGCACTAGGAATTGTAAATTGTTCTTTAAATGTACGTGCTGCTAAAATCTTGATCAATTGCCATCTAAAAAGAATGTAAAGATGTCAAAATTTGAATTATTCATTAGTTTTTTATATAATTGACTAATGATGGCTTAGATATGAATATAATCTTTGTTATTTCTTAAAAGCTTTAAAGAAATAAACAACCTCATATTGGCCCATGTGTTACGTGCATGTTGAGTGGAGTTTTTATGGAATTAGACTGAAAAATGCATGCACTTAACAAGGACTTTACATGCATAAAGAATATAAATAATTAAATAAATAAATAAATCATGCACAAAGAAAGAGTTCTTTTGTGCATAAGGATGAAGTCTGTTTTTTTCATTAAGAAGAAGTAAACTTGGAGATGTTAATAATGTAGAGGATGTTAATGTGTACTATGTGTATTAGAATTATTTATCTACAGATAACAAAAATAAAACCATGAACCTTAAAAATAAGAGTTTATCATAAAATTATATTAAACTAAAAGTTTACATTTACAGCCATAGTTTAAAAGAAATAAATAGAATTTATAATATATTTTTCATTATATATATATATATATTCCAAAATCTCAAAATTATAAATATTTAAAAGTAAGTACATAAAAGGTTCTTATTTTTTAAAATAAATATTAAACATAATTATCATATAATTTTATAAATTTTATGAATTTATTTTTAGTGGTGTTCTCAATAATTTAAGTTCACTCAAGAAATCATAATGTAGATAGTTGAAATAGATTTTATATAACACATATGAATTTTATTAGGATTTTTTGTGTACTAAAAAATACAGGTATTTAATAATGCACACACACACACACACACATATATATATATATATATATATATATAGAAAAATTTCAAAACCTGAAGTTGGTTGAGACCCATTAAAAGGGTAAAATGATCACAATAAACCTTCTCAGAAAATGGATGTACAGAGAATGATAAAATCCAAAGGTTCATTATATCGGAACATAGGTGCGTGTGTTCCAGATAGTTCCCAGAAGTTCTATTCACACAGAACGTGGACTCCCGTTCCCAAGCTCAGAGGCAGATTCTGACTGGAATCGACGCCCTTCCTCACCCTTTTCCTCGCCGATCACCACCACCACCTCCGCCGCTGTTGAGCTGCGGCTTAGGGTTTTGCGACCAAGCATTCTCACTGTCGGAGTTTAGACGCTCGGGAGGTGACTAGAGTGTCCAGACTCCGTCGATGCTACAGCGCTGAGCTCCCTACGTTGTTTTTTGTCGTCTTGGTCTCCTTCGTCGCTGTAATTTGGTTTGTGAGTATGGCTGCATTGGCTTAAGGATTCAGGGGTTTAGGGTTTAAGGGAGTCAATTCAGGCGAGTTTGGGAGTGACAATCGAGTTTCTGGTGCTGGGCTAAGCCCTCGCCGGCAAGATGCAGTCCGACGAGGTCGTATGGCAGGTCATCAACCATGTCCACTGCAGCTTCAAGGCCAAGTAAGTATGCGCAGGAGAAGCGAGCGAGAGAGCGAGAGAGAGAGAGAGAGAGAGAGAGAGAGAGACGTTTATTTGGTTTTCTTATCGAGTTTTGGGCATTACGGGAGGTGGAGCACTTGTTGACGGTGTTTGGGGTGGTGTTGGTGGTCATGGCGTAGGATGCAAACGCAGAATTTTTGTAGGAACGAGTACAATGTCACGGGACTTTGTAATCGGAGTTCGTGTCCCCTGGCCAACAGCAGATACTCTACGATTCGGGAAATTGATGGTGAGTTGTTTTGTTCTTTCCTGGAAAGCGTTGATATTTTTGTTTTGTTAGCGAGGATAGTTTCAATTTTGGATTATTCGAATTTTCTGCTTATTTGGACTTGGAATTGTAGGTACGCTGTACTTGTATATGAAGAGTATTGAGCGATCTCATTCCCCTAAAGACTTGTGGGAGCGTGTTAAATTGCCTCGAAATTATGGGAAGGCGCTGGAGACGATCGATAAACATCTGGTTAGCGCTTTTTCCATCGAAATTGTGTGTTCAATTATGGGTTACTCTAACGAATTTCAACATAATTGTGTGTTCAATTATGGGTTTCCATCTCCTTTTTTCTCACTTTTGTGAAATATGTGATTTATGTATGAAGGAACATTGGCCGAAGTTTTTGGTGCATAAAAATAAGCAGCGGCTTACTAAAATGACTCAGTACTTGATCCGAATGCGGAAACTAGCATTGAAAACCAAGTAAGCGTTTCACCGGAAGTGGGCTGTTTACCAATTCACATAAAGAGACTGACAATTATCAGAGAACCGTATTGTTTTCGGAATCTTGCGCCTTGCCTCCTCTACTGGAAAGCGGTTGTTTGTCTTCTAATTTGTCCAAGTATTCCTGTGCGTAACGTTCTCTAACTTACATACCATTGACCTGCAGGCGCAAACTCGTCACAATGCCTGCGAAGGAAGTGAAAAGGGAGAAGCGTAGGGAAGCGAAGGCATTAACAGCAGCTGTTTTGGACAAGGTCGTGATCGCACCCAGTGATAACTTGCACACCAGCACATGATATTTGTGTAGAAGTTAGATTCCGATGTTCAATTTTTCAGTACTTCTCATGGTTTGTTGTTTTGTTTGCAGTCGATAGAGAAGGAACTATTGCAGCGATTGCAAAGTGGAACTTACGGAGATATATACAACTTCCCCGTCAAAGAATACGAGAAAGTTTTGGCAATGGAGGAGATGGAACCTGCTGGTGAGGAGAGTGAAGAGGAAGAAGAGGTAAGTGTAGGCATATCATTTCTGTACTTTATTACTCGACTTTGGCTTAGGGAATGTGTCGAGAATACCCTGGACAGACACATGTTGCATGGTTTTTTTAAAACCCTTCTTTAATGTTCCATTTTTTAACTTTTTTAGGGCACTTACAGTCAGCTCTGGCCAACTTTATTGAACGCACACATGCATAAATAAAAAATTGACAACACTTACGTATGCTACTTGCGTAATGTACAATCGTTTAGCAGGAGCCAGAAGTTGAATACGTGGAGGGTTACGAAATGGAGGATGAAGACGAGGATGATGCTATTGAAGACTTTGCTCAGGGTGCGAACAGGATGTCTGATTCTGAAGATGGTATATCTATTAGAGGCCTTAACACTTGTTTTTAATGAGCTATTTGCCATGCCGACTTCTGATTAACTGTTGAAATTCTGTATCGTAATTGTTCTTGCTTCACTGTGTAATGAATTGTCTGCTTACATCTTATACATCTTATGTGTATTTTTTGGCCAGACGACGGAGAACAATCCCATGATGAATCAGATGCATCTGAGGACGAGGACATGCAACCAAGCCGTCAATCGAGGAAGGCCCCCAAGTCGCTCAAGGTTCCTTCGAAGAGAGGTCAAGTTGATCCTACGCCAGCTAGCAGAAAGAAAAGACGTCCCCATGTCGAGGTAATTGAGATCTACTTAATCTGCTGATTGTGACGGTGGCCTGATTATGCTATTCTAGTTTGAATCATCAGTCGGTTATTCAATGATGACGTTACAGATTCGGAAGTCACCAAATTATTTGCATCCGAGTTTTCTTTTAGTGCATTGGTGATCCTTACTGACAGTTCGGTGTACTTTTTGACAGATCGAGTATGAAGAGGAGCGTGAGATGCAGAATGCGGATTTTTGATTTTTGCAATATTCTGCCAACTCGGTTGTGCACAATTTTGTATTAACACGAGATTAGGTTTACGGTGGTTATAACACATGTTCCCCTAAATCTAGATCGGTCAAAAGACCGAAGACCTTATGGAAGCAGGGAGCAAGTTAGTGCGGAAGTTGGAGATATGTGACTGACGTTCTTCTATTGAGCAGTGCAAGGCTTCTAAGTGACTAGTTGAAACCAAGACTGCCCTCATGAGATATTAGAAATTTGGTGCGATTAATTGATATAGAGGTTAAAACGGTTACTTATTTCATTCTCTCGCTTGTAATTTACACCAGGTTGCCTGTGTTATTCATTGATTCTAAGAGAGAAATGTCCAACTCTACATTTGATGCCTCAATTGCCGACGCGAAAAGACCTCGCAGTAGTCATTGCAGTAGCCATTGAGGTGGGGTTCCTAAATTTGAAGTTTATCTTGTAAAAAGTTGTCATGCTCCAAAAAAAGCCCGTATTATCTTCAAGAACCAATCAAAAGCTTTGAAATATTTAATCCCAGGTCTCAGAAAACTGCAGCCATGTGTTTGTTTCATTCGTTAGTAACACTCATTTCGAACATAAATGTGCTTTATTCTAGTAATCAATGTGAACTTCCTGAAGTCCCTTTCAATTTCAAGCACTAAGAATGATTCGTACACATTCGCAGATGTCATTCTTGACTTGGTTCTGCAACTTTTGCTTGTTAATTAAAGTGAAATATGAGTTCAGTACAGACGAAGTTGAATGTGGTTTTTCTTCACAGTTAATGGAAGACTGTTATGTTCCGCCCCGAAAAGAAGTTGGATATGAAATTCATTTAATGAATCCGAGTTTTCTTAAGGAAGTTAAACCAGAACATTATGGGAAAAACTAATTTTACCCAAAGATTCGAAGTAACTCTAGTATCATAACAAAACAAAACTTTTTGAGGATATTTATTGGTAATCTAATGATTCGGTAAAAGTGGTAAAAGGTGGAGGATCTTTACAAAAATTAGATAAAATAAGTTTGAAGTACAACAAGATCTTTTCTATGTGATTTAAGTAAATCCTAGCTTTACTTAAGATAGCTACTATACAAATGTCTAGGTGAATTAGACCAAAGAAACAAGATTCCATTCAAATAACTAAGCCAAAACATGAAGTGATAGTATTCTAAGTTTGGTTCTAAAGTGCTCAAACTCAACTATAGTAGTAGTTTTGTAAAAACATCAACAAATCATTATTTTTGTTAATATCATATACTAATTCAATCTTTTTTTTTCTTTTTTCTTTTTTCTTTTTCTTTTTCCACTAGTACAAACAAACTAAAATTTAATAAAAACATGTTTTATGCTTGGATGATCTAAAATTTTATTTACAACAACATGAAATTGATATTGTCAACAAATTTTATAGTTGGCTCTTCTTTAGAATGACAAATTGACTTCAACAACTTCCACATCTAAAGAGCTTCCATAATTGCATAGGAGATAGCAATATACTAAACTTTAGGTATTGATGGTGCTATTACAAATTAATGCTTAGTAGTTCAAATACTAGCTTTACTACTAAAATTGAAGTATTTTTAGATTGAAACTTGGTTTTTAAAATCATAACCTCAATCATTGTCATTAAAAATTCAAGCACAAGATAAGATATACAAGATGGGTTTATGAAATCACATATATATACCAACTTCATATCCATTTTGGTGATTGTATGCAGATAATTATTGCTAAATCATTATACAAGAATATAGTAGTTACATCTATGTCATAGATCTTAAATTATGACATAGATGTAACATATAGATGTTATATTTAATTTAGATATCTATATGATACAACACCATATCTTATATGGTGTTGTAAGATAAAAAATTTAAAAAATTAAATTAAATATAGAAATTAGAAAAAATATTTAAATTAATTTTCTTTCTTTATTTAATGAAAGCCCTTAGCCATTGATCTTGCTTTCAAGAGATTAATCTATTGATTTTCTTTCTTCTTAAACTTAAACACTTACCAACATTCAACTGTTTTGTACTTAGATAGAAGAATAGTCAAATCTCAAGTATCATTCTTGATAAGTGATCCATACACTAAACAAAGTACAACAATCCACTCATTATTTTATAGGTGGTGATAGCTTTTTTTGTAAAGCTTTAATTGTGCAATCTTATATATATACAAAATTTCAACCACATAGCATTTCCATCATTCCAAATGATGTAATTTATTCTTGACATATCTACTATTCCATGGCTAGAAATATAAATGTATCTTATTATTAGAATCATTGTCTTTGTGATTAATATTGGAATAAATCTCATCTTATAATTTAAAAGATGTATAAGAATATTAAAAAAATAGATTTTTTTATTTTATTTTATTTTTTATATATCAACTAATTAATAGATTGTATCTTTGGAAAAACCTCTTGATCTTCTATTAGTTAATAAAAAATTGTACAAGGATTTGTGGATCTTAAAAATAAAGTATAAAAAAAAATTGTATTGCTCTTTTTAAAATTATACTATATGTTTTAATTGCAAAAATATCTTTTTCACTCAAATAAGTGATATCTAAATTAAATATGACATAACAATTGCAAATGCACCATTTGGTAAAGAAATTGTACAACTTGTACATGCTAAAAGTATTTTTAGGATTAAGCCTAACAAAGATCATTTTTGAATTTTTATCATCTAACTTTGCATGTTTATAATTAAGAATAAAAATATAATTGGTGCATCTAAAAACCTTCAAATTTTTTTATTAGGTTTGATTCTTAATCAACACTATTTAATTGTTTCTTCCAAAAGCCTAGGAGGACTACATATAAAGAAATAAACAAAGTTTTAGCCTAACATTTTTCTCCTAGACCAACATCATGGTGTATAGATAGGATCTTATTTAACAATATTCTTCTCATATGTTAATTTATGCCATTAAACTTGAAAGAATTACAAGGCATAACTTAATATTAAATGTACTTTTATAAATAAGAATAAACATACTTCCTAAGATATCCACCACCATTGCCTACATGCAATATCTTAGTCTAATAATTTATATCATTTCTAACAAATGCTTTGTATTGAATGAATTATTCCAAAGTATTATCCTTATGTCTTAAGAAATAAAAATAGATTTTTTAAAGTGTAATAATCTATAAAAATAAGTAAAAAAATAGTACCTAAGATTGGTGTAGCTTCACTAGTTCACAAAAATTTGTAAAAATTAATTGTAATGATTGCTCTTTTGACTTCTTGTTGTATTTTCTATCAAAGGATGTCTTGCATTACTTTCTTAAAATACAAGATTTATATATATATATAAAAAAAAAAAAAACTTTCTAAGTCATGCTTGAAGCCAAACTCATCTACTATATAATTCTTGCATAACAACTTTATATTCTTGTAGACTAAATTGATACATCTTCTAATACCACAATGAAGCATTGTTACTTTGTATAAACAAAGTTAGTAGTTCTCCTCTATATACTACTATACTATAATTTAGCCTAAATAAATATTAGCTAAATTACTTTAGATTTTTTTTTTTTTTTTTTTTTAATAATAAAATTAAGATTTTTTCTTTTTTTAAAATAAAAAAATTAATAAAAATTATATTTTTTGCCAAATTAGGCACATACAACATGGACATCAAATTATGTTTCTTCTAATTGCCATTAAATAAATAATTATTGAGATATATCTTATAAGCACCAACTATTATTAATTTAGCATTGTTACTATGCCTTAATATAATGCAATCTTATACAAGATGATAATTATTGAATGCAACTTTTATATGAGGTTTTTAAATCCAAAATCCAAGGATTTAAATCATAATTATTATAAGATGATATATTGAAGAATTTATAATTATTGATATTTTTAAATGCATCATTTTATATTTCTTTTTAATATAAAGAAGCTACTTCTTTTTTTCCTAATATTATACTTATTAAATCTAGCAAGTAGTTTCTAACACTCTTTTTTAGTGTTACTAAGTTTTCTATTGTAAATTAAAGAAATTCTATTTTTATCTTTTTATCTTTAGTAGAGTATTTCTTAAGTTGGTAAGAACAACGTTTATTTTTATTTTTGAATATTAGTTTGTGCTTGTCAAAAATGTAGATAAAAATAGAAATATACAAAAAGAATTATCTTAACTCCTTTTTATTACTTTTTCTCATAATCTTTATTAAATATTATGTCAAAGATAGAAGCATACTTGAAGCTATCTTTTGTCTTTAATCATGTGACAAGTTGCATCAAATTATAGAATAGCATTTTAAGAAACAAAACAATGTATTGATTGTCTAAATATTAAACCTTATTCTTATACAATCATTTGATAAGGCTATTTAGGATATTGACATATCACCATCATTGTTGAGCTTTAAATTAAGAAGTTGCAATGAAAAATAAAATTATTATTAGACATTACTTCTTCTAAAAGTGGCTACTAATTTTAACAATGAACTTTTAGCATTCTTAGCATTATCAAGAAGATGAAGCTAAGACTTACTTGTTTAAAATAAAGTAGACAATAGAAAATTTTGATTTCAATTATTCCATTCATTTAGCTTAATTGTAAGAATTAAAATATTAATTTAATTCTATAATTAATGTTGATTTAAATAATACTTAATTAAAATTTCTGAGACAAAATTGTTTTTAATTAATTTTTCTATTAACCTAAGATGAACATAAATTGCATAGGATTTATATAGGCCTATAATCTTATAAGCACTAAATTAAGTCTTAACAATATATGTGTTTAAATTTTAACAACTTAAAATAATAGTCATTCTTTATCTACTTGATATTCTTAAAGGTAATGTAATAATATATATATATATATATATATATATATATCACAATAAATAATTTTACTACAAAGACCACTACAAGGCATACAAATTGATTAAGGAGAAAATAATTCTACTAAGGCCAAAAAAATCCTTAAAATCTATAAAAAGAGCAATTAGAAAGTATAGTATAAAAAATTAAAAAATAGAATAATAAATCTAAATTTTACTAAAAATGGTAATTATACCACCACTTATATTAATGATCAATATATATGTATATATATATACATATATTCACATACTAATAATTTTTTTTATTATCAAGCAAAAATATTTTTATGCATTAAAGATATATTTTATAAATAAATTTATTTAATATTATCATATATTAGAAATATCATTTATAAACACAACTTCATAGTCAATAATTAAAGAAAAAATATCATACATATCCTTGAAATATGTTGAAATATCAAGAATATCTATGTATTCTTAATAATAGCAAATCTATCCTTCACTTTTGTGATGATATCAAATCTACTATTTATCATCATAAGGTATCACAATTGTTCTTTTTTAAGTGCAAATGGAGCCATACTTGCATGTCACAAAGAAATTGGTAAGCCGTTTTTAGCTCTTTTTGGCACATAAATATTATAAAATCCCTTGCTTCAAATTTTGGGTGAAATGAGCTATTGAGCCTATAAAAAGTTTACATTCATACCACTCTTGCAAAACACAATTTGGCACATTAGGTGTTTGAGTCTCTACCCCAACTTGCCACACTCCATGGCTCTTAATATTAATACCACCTCAATATACATCCATGACAAGAATCTACATGTTAAAACCTTATAATATACACCAAAACATGCATTTTGGAAAAATTTTAGAGTATGGTCGGATTTTTTTCCAATTAAAAAAAGACTTGTCTTTTCACTTGTTACTTTGTTTATTTTTAAAACTTGTTCTACCTTAATAAATTTGTATTTATGCCTAATTCCTATTTACCAAAATAAAAAGGGAAGGTTAATATGCTTTCTTTTTCTTATTTCCTTTATTTTTTAATATAATTTTAGTCTTTTTGTTGGTTTCCTAATTTATCACGACATTTCACTAGAATGTCTCTCTTTCCTCCCTCCAAAGGATACTTCCAAAACAGTGAGCATGCAAAATTGAAGCACTTGATGATGAACGAATCGTTCCCACACAAACTTGGTGTCATTAAATATCCAGGATTTTTAATTATGCTTCCTACCTCGACACAGGAAGACATAGCTGAATTTCACAATGTGCACTAATGTTTACACTTTTGAACACACTCCATCCAAGCTCAAGGCTCTTTGGAGTTGTTCATATCCTTGCCTTATTGCACCTGCCTCGACACTTTTCTGTGTGGATAGTTGATTGTGAAGAGTTGGATTTGTACCGTGTAGACACCGAGTCTACGAATCTCACTTTGGGGAAAATGGTAATGCACGCAAATGTTTCAGGTTCGGTATCAATAGCGTCGTGGACAGTTTCCAGTCTCGTCCCAAAACTCGCTGCCGACGCACTGGCTGCAAACGAAGAGCCCTTGAGGGTCAACTCGTTGCTTCGTGGCTATCAAGCGACCATAGTTCGAGAGCCCCCAGAAAGAGCGCTGCCACTGCGGCTCATCAATGCTGGCTTCGTTTGTGTAAGCCCCGGAGTCGGGGTAGGTCTTATGTAGTGCCTGAGCGAAAGCCTTCAAATCGTTCCTTATGGTTGACTTCTGACCTTCTGTTGAATTCCAGGACCAGGTATGCGTAGCAATCAAGTGCCAGATCCCCTCACGCCACGCTGGTGTTACGGCTGTCAGTCCAGATGGATCTGCCGCTCTTACTCCAGGTCCTATCACTACATTACCTATAAGAGTTGTAAGAGATTCATTTCGAACTGGCAGGGCGGAAAGAATAGCTTTCGCAGTGCCTCGGGGATCCTTCATTGCCGACAAGGGTATGATACGGGATGACATCAAGACCCGGTCTCCTACGGGATCTGTCCCTGTCTTGGGACTAACGATCGCCTCGACTGTTTTGTGCCAATCCTGGAAGGTGGAGGAAGCAAATGCGTATTGGAACTGGAGTGTGACTTTCTTTCCCTGCAATAACTCTTCCAAAATCGGAGTAAAGATCTTCTTTGCGGCCGCTAATTTGGAGGGCGCCAGGAAGACTAAAGTAAACTGCTGCGCGTTAAACACCCAGTATCCTCCCCACATCGCCTCATCTAGTGCAATAGAGCTACGAGCCCATATCGTCAGAATCTCCTCTTGAGTCGCTGTTGACCAGACGGTTCCATTCGGCGGGGAGAACACATAAAAGAACCCTGCAAAGTTGCTTGGGCTTCGGTGTAGCTTGTACGTAACAGACGTCACGACTCCATATGTACCACCTCCTCCTCCGAGCAAGGCGAAGAAAAGCTCTGGATCTTTACATGCATTTGTTGTGCGCAGTTTCCCGTCAGCCGTGACAACCTCAATCTGTAGCACGCTGTCCACGGCTAGCCCGAATTGAGGGCTTAAGGATCCGTGACCGCCACCCTGAATGTAACCACCAGTAGCGCAAACGGTCCGGGCATTTCCACTCACAGTGATGTATCCGGTGGGCTTGAGTGCGTCTGTAACCTCCCCCCACCCGACACCTCCGACAACTGTGACAGCCGGTGTGGAATGTTTCCCGCACCTGCTGGAGGGCACGAATGAATCATGGATGCTTATGTTTTTGAACTTGTGCATCCAGATCAGAAACGAACCATGTGCCGTGCTTCGGCCGAGGAAATCATGCCCGCTGCTCTTGACGGCAACTCGAAGATTGTGGCGGGCTGCGAATTTAATGGCCTTTTGAATGTCGTCGACCTTTTCTACCTGGACTCCCAGCACCGGTACCTGGCCTTGATGACATTTGCTGCTCACTGGCGCATCCATGGAACAAGTTTCCTGACCTTTGTCCTCCCAATTCTCCCATTGCATGCTTCCAGCGTTGTCTGCACGCAAATACGCATCGAAGTAATTGTTCCGTAAGCTCTGACAAAGTGAAGGGTTGTAGTGCGGGTCATGACAAGGCCTTCCCGTTGGATTCGGAGTGATCAGGCGACCACCCACACTGCAATTGAATTCATTCAATTCTCGTTTTGATGGCCAACAAGCAGCATTTGTATCCAAGCAGCGGCACTTGTAAGATTCTGCAGAGGCGTAAGAAACAGCAACTGTAACGGCGTACAGTATCATTATGTACAGTGGCCATCCAAGTGAATCCTGGTCGCCACGCATCGCGTATCCCTGATCAAGTCTCCAGCTGCTTGGAAGCAGAATCAGAGGGATAGCATGTCTTGATTTCTTTCGAAATCTGAACATCCAGTTAAGCATCAATATTTATTACCAGCACCAGTCGCAATTTCGTCTATGTCTAGAGAAGAAAATGGTTTTATGTTGCAGGTAAATCAATTTCTGGCATCTAGAACTTGAAGTCCTCAACCTAATAAGAGCTGACTCGTAATACTTGCAAATCTCTACTCGCCCACTGAGCTGCGTGTGTGCACTTTAACAGATGCAACACATTGGGATGCAGCACAATGCCCTCATGCTCAGTTACAAAAACATTGAAAAAGTAGCAACCGGATGCGGATCATCCGCTTGCTTTGACTATGAATGGACACACGTTTCGATCTAACTCTCTCTCAAATGTAATAAATTAGATACTTTCAGGTTGTAAAGGAAGCCGACACTTCGTGCTCGGCGCAGTCGTGTCAGTGCCTGATGACGTAACCAGAGATCATAACCAGTGCATCGAGGTCCCGCAGGCCACGACCTCATCTCCATTCAAACAGACCCTTCCCAGAACATGTTCGATTGAACACTGCAGGCCGCAGTTCATCTTCGTTCAAGAATAAATAAATCGTTGGTGACAAGAAAACTCAAATCTTGGGCAAATAAGCCAAGTCGAATCAACAGTATCACATTGACTAAATCCTCAACTTGCCGAACATGTTGAAATAATATCATTTGTGGGGGGCTGAGTTTGACCTATGTAGATCATGTGAATCCCATGGGCAGCAACGTGAATGAGATCGCTTCGACGAAACGTACAAAGTGGGAATGTAACGACCATGACGCGGCAAGGACGAGTTGGCAGTATTAAGGAAGGAATGCCAGATTTTTCGAAGAGGATTTACATGTCGCAGTAAGGATTAAAGCAACGGCGCCATTGCAGCAGGTGCGTTGAGTGACAGGGGAGCGGAGACCTCGAAGTCACCGCAGATAGCGATCGATAGCGTAGCAGATCCGCGACGCCGCAAAAATCTAGACACAATTTATCTAAAATTTCAGGTATCGAGGACTCAAGGACTGACGCCACAACTCATTCGATTTAAAAGTATTTCTATATATTTTTTATTTTCAATTACGTGGCAACTCGTTTGGATTTATTACCTATTTTATGTGTAAGATAGTTAAGTATTCAAATATCAATTATGCTTTTGAAATCTTAACAGGACATATTGTATTTATTTCTAAGTTTTGAACTTACAGTAAAAAATAAATATTGATTTTTTAAGTGCTATAATGTTGTATAAGTTGTATTTGAGTATGTTCTATTTTTCCGCAATATTTTTAGGAGAATGTTACAATAACCCACTTAAATTTTAACTCAATCCATTAAATGACTTTGTGGTTTAAAATTGCCCCAATTCCTTTGCAATAGAAAATTTTCTAGCCTAAGTGAAATGTCGGTTAATTCAAGCAAATGATTTTGGAACTCTTTTTCTTTGTGGAGCACCAATATTTGGTACATATTTCATGTTGTTCATAGTAACAAAAAGAGATTCAAGTATTGTGGTGCATGGTGGTGGGCTTATTTAAGATTTATGTGGATTGATTTGATATTCTCATTAATTTTTTTGTGATATATATATATATATATATATATATATGAGCATAATATATTTTATAATATTTCTATATTAAACTATAAATATAATTATATTATATTAATAAATCCCAAACATGCAATGGATAGAATTGCAAATCTTATAAATTAGGAAAAATATCATATATTCTCCTAAAATATGTTGAAATATCAAGAATACCCATGTATTCATAATAATAGTAAATATATTCCTCATTTTTGTGATAATTGCAAATCTACCCTCAAACTTGACAAGGTATAACCTTATTCCCATTTTAGGTTAATCCAAGGCCCAAACCATGTGTCACACACATTTTGGCATGACATTTTTTTGTATAAGTCGGCCCCCCACAATGTAGACACCGGAGCTGCTGGAAGTGTTGTGCTTGTACCAAAATGCATTTCCTCATTGAACAAACTCTTGCAATTGTATCGCATGGCAAGATCTGTAAGTTACAAGACTATTTCTATGGAAACCCATATGTAAGCTGACATGTTTTCTCCAACATGAACAGATGTTTGCTTTGCGCGGTGAGCTTGGGTGGATGAACCAGCGCCAAACTCCTTACGGATTTGGAGGGAACTCAATGGTATAGTTTTAATTGCTATGCTTCTCCCTTAGTGAGAAAATTGCAGCTTCACTTTGAGCTTGTACTACGGGTCTTAGTGACTCATGATTTCCGGTGACCAAATGGTTTCATCATTGGCAAAGGAAATCATTGTCCAACAGGAGAGATTCGAACTTTTTGTGCATTTGTTATATACGGCTACTGGTGATGACGCAGAGGACAGAAATGAGAGTCGTCACGTGCTGCAACAAGTGCGAGGAAAAAGCTCGAGAGGAAATCAGTGAAGTGTATGGTGAGTGCACTGTACGCCTTCAATTCTTGCCCTTGGCTGATTGTCAACTACTGATGTCAGCCCGGTTTCAGTAGAAAATTGGGATCGTGTGTGTAATCAAATCAACTTTGCAATTTAATATGAATTTTATTGAAATAATTTCTTTCAATGGTAATAATAATAGTTTGATGCTTTTTGTCAATTAAAATTATCTAAAATTCATTAAATCAACATATTTCAAGGACAGCCACCAATTGCAATTATTTATATACATGTATAGTAATAATTGCAAATAATTTAAGAACACGGTTTTTAATGTTCTTGAAAAATTCTAAAGTTTTCTAAAAAAACTGACCATCAGAAAAGATTTTGACGCATGTTTTAGTATCTTTCGTAAAATTTTAATATGTAAAATATTATCCAGTGCCTCAGCATTAATTTATCAAAATTTATGACCTCATTTTAGTTGAAACAGAAGTGGTGTCGCCAGAAATATTAATTGGAATGTAACTTTAGCAGATATTTAAAGAATAAAATCAAAAACATTTAATTTTTTTTTTTATTGTAAAGTAATTTATAGACGCAACATAGGACTACAACTTGTTTGATTAAACCAATCTGCATATACCCATAATTATTTGAGTACAACAATCAAATTAAACATGTCACCTTACGCAATTTGAGTAGTAGTATGGAAATTTTAGCTATCTTAGGATTGGATAATGGACAAATCTCTGCCAATGTTGTGCACGACCCACATCTTTCTAAACCAGTCAGTTCGACACCAATTCTGCACTGAGATCTGAATGTGTTTTTATCGTGGTCCGTTCGTCACAATTACTACAATTCACTCCAACTGGGTAGGGCGGAACGTCAACCGCAGTAACCCCAGTACCATCGGTATCTATTTCTGTGAGCCACTGGCACAATAGTATATTTGATTACTATTGCTAGGTCTGTCAGGTGGACTGCTCCGAACGTGGCCAGCCAATCCATCAGAGTATCCACCTCGGCAACTAGTTCCTGAAGTGTGAAGTGAAAAGAGTAATCCATAAATTGTGAAGTTCAAGCAAAGGTTTCTCATCTCAGCTACATTCTACTACAGCAAGTCGGTCATGAGAAACTAGGAATCTATGAAGGAAAACTTGCGAGAAGAATGACAGAATCCCACGTATTCGTAATCAAAACTGGGGTTTATTTTACTTGTGACTATGATACATATGAGAGAAAAAGTAGATGATACTTGGGTAAATGGAGGCTTGAAACCATGCTCGGTGACAATCGTTGCCTAGGACGCTTTCCCTATTGATTTGGCTAAGTTTCTCTCGAGCAGGACATTAGACTCAGTATTCCGGCATAAAGCCGGTGTTGAATGCATACATGGGTCGAGTTCTGTCCCACCGGCTGTTTAAAACCCACATGATGTTATATGCGTAGCATTGAAGAATGTGCACTCAGCAGCGCGAGGAAAACAAGCCCTAATGTACTCGCAGTCACAGCCCTCGTGCCTTCCCATTTCACATCTCACTTCTTCACCGGCTAGACAACCCATGCCTGGAGATTGGCACACTGCAGTACATCCAACCGAATCCGGAGTGTCAGAAGTATCCCCAGGAGGACATTATCACATTACAGACTCCTCCGAACTGTTGATTATCATCAACATGAACAGTTACCTCAGTTTCAAATCTTCCTTGTCAAATCGGATTTGTCTACCTAAACGTCTATAGATCCAAAAAAGTTAACTTAATGAATTGGATTGTGTGAATTCTGGTGAGAGAGAGAGAATACGAGAATAAGCTCTTCTATCGCATGCTAGCAAGGGACACAAAGGGAAGACCAAGCTAGCTCACATAGGGGCACTTCGGTATCCCGCACGGCAGACGGAGCGAGAAGGCGCCGAGAGGCCACCTGAGTGGTGCGTGCAGCTGCAAACTGACTGTTCGACACTTGTTCGAATAGAGCGGTCAGCTGCAAAGTCAAATTCCATAACCGGATCAGTGCGGACAGAGATTGTGAATATAAGAGATCTGCCTCAAGCGGACACCGTAAGCACCCATAGCGACGAGGGCCAGTACTGGACAGCCTAAGATGCGAGATTCAAGGAACCGGGACAAATTTCGCGCACCTTCTCAGTTTGTGCCTGCATTCTAGCTAAATCTTGAATAGTCATGTACTTCCTGGTGGCCTCTGCAGATTCCAACAGAAGGTAAGGTCAGGCTCCGTGTGACATGAGATTGGAGCTCGATTAGTACTGAGGATGGAACATCATGAGTCCCGTATTCAAATTCTCGAGATTAAAGGTGCCATAACAAACTTGATAAGTAACGCAATGATCCTTGACTTCAAAATCTGAAGCCATAACGACGATACTCTAATAGAGAAGCATTTCAAATGCTGAGTGAAAGAAATATATAATATGCAAAGTTCCGTTACCTGTAATCACAAGCAACAACAAAAGAAGTCCCATAATGTCCCTAGTATGAACGGCCATTGTGGCGAACGTGTCGAACGCAAACCTGCAACATTGAGATGAAGTAATGCTTTAATCTTAAATTTCTGGGTGCCGGACACTCACGGTTGCCAAAGTGACGACAGAAGAGAGAAAATTGCAGCTCATCTAACACAGAACCGGACACACGACATCGGAGTAGTCGTAAAACCCACAATGTAGGCACTGCAAGAGTGACGTCAATCGAAAAATCAATTGCGAGAATCGTTTGACATCAGCGCAACTAGCTACGACAGACTGCAAAAGAAATTTAGAAGAAAAACCAAACCAAATGCGATAGAATCTGCTTAAGCGAACACCAACCTTAACAAAAAGAAATCAGAATATTTTCCAAATACAGGCTCGCGAGTGAGATCAGAACAGACGAGAGAAGTGAAACGTGCGACTACGCGAGAGACGATCGACAAACTATGGTGTGGATCTGAGGCGTTCTATTTCTTCAGCTCCAAGAGGGAGTTGCAAATCATGCTCGACTTCATCGATTCATCCTCACTTGTCAGACGGGTCAATCACTTGCATCGGTACAGCGACTTGAAATTACCCTGAGCAGCGAATTATTGCACATCCACCGAAATCATTCGCTGACGCAACTGAGGGGCATAATGCGGAAGCCTGATAACCAATAATGCGCGGTAATCCGACCCAGTTTAGACCACGCCAATCATGGGGCAGCAGAGAGGAAGTCGAGACAGAGTCAAACCGGCTGGAACCTTGTCAGGACTAACTTACTACCCAGTCTTACGATGAAAGCTTTCAACGGAGCTCATCACTCGGCCAGTTGCGATCCAAGTTTATTTACATGAAACAGCGGAACATTCTGTGGAGTTTGTTGGTCCCACGTTATCGGTGTGACCCACTCGTCATCAGTGATGAACAATCATGCAGAGTGGTCCCGAGGTGAGTCACTTTCCGCTAGGCTTGTTCAAAGGTTTCAGATTACTCATGGGGGGGCCATTCACACGCTAAGACCTTATACGACATCAATGTGACGTATAAAAAGTTCCGATTGCACCCCCTTACAACGACGGTTCAGATTTTCCTCTTTCAAACGTATGACTCCAGTCCTGCGTCACCTCAGCTTTTTCTTACCACCTCCAAGGAGATCGATTCGTTACTACATTTCTGTCCACACCACCACTACTGTCATAACCGAGCCAGCGAGACAAGAATAAAGAGTGGCTGAGCTGCCACCGGTGACCCTAAATACAGGAAACTATCCTTCTGGCAACAGAAAAAAGTTTGGCCCCCATTGAAGTCATGTGTGCTACAGTACAACCGAGTCCGACTGCTAAACAAAGAAACCGAAAACTAATCGTTCGGAATGCAGGCTGCTAGATTTGACACCGCTCCAAAGCGACACAACGACACCCTGGTTAGTGTCAGGGCTTCCTCGAAGGCTAGACTAGGAGAGTAAGTGAATGAGAGTGGTAATCTCACAGCCTTGGATCCAACGCGATTCGGTTTTTCAGCTAGTGCAACCGCAATGATGCAGGTTTTCGTTGGGGGCCAGCACCGACGCATTGCGTCGTCGGATAGTAGAACGCATCCATGCGGAGCCAGATCGCATCGATGCGGGGGCCGAGGCCAGCACGAGCAGCAGCATTATTGGCCTGGATTCCTTCCTTCCTTCCTTCCTTTAATGCGTAAGAATCCTCCGATCCCAGCCTGGATCCCGGCTTGGGTCACCTGGTCCCCGCCCGCCAATGGTCTTGGATGGATGAGGATTAGGACATTCGTTCTGTCTCTGTTCAGCGATGTCCGTTTGCGTCAAGTTAATGATTCTAATTCTCAAAATGGATCCGGAGTAAACTTTTGGGTGTTTCTACAAAGTGCTCTTGCTTGTTAATATATATATATATATATATATATATCTATTACATAAAAAAGCTTGGGTACAAGACAAAGAAACAATGAAGTTTTTTCATTGTCCATGAAGAAGGGAACGTGAGGAACATGGAGAATGTGAGAGTAGAGGAATATGGGGCGTTTTGAGGGCTTGTAGTCTAGAAGAACTTGCTTTTAGAACTTATTACACCTTTTCTATGCCCAACAAGATGAGTTTCTATTAATGAATAGATAGATAGATAGATAGATAGATAGATAGTGTGTATATGTTTATTTTAAGTTGGATTTTATTTTCAAAAATAATTTAAAAAATATATGTTAAAATATACATCTTGTAGAATCTCACAAGATGTCAAGGACAAGAACTCAATGAAAAATCAATTCAGACAAGTGAGCCTTCACTCAAAGAAAGGTAATAAAATATTAATAAACAAGTATGTATATTGAAAGAGAAATTGGAATGGCTATTCTCAAAGACTAAAAAACATGAAGACTCTTGAAACTAGACTGGAAACAAAAAAGGAGTTGACAAGAGTGAAGAAGGCTTCACTCTTGTCATTATATATACTATCTAACTAGGGGCTACGTGGTAACGTTCTATAGGACCTTCAATATGTGTTGACTTTGTGGGACACATGCCTTGACTTACAAGGCACGTTTTTCTATATGTGGGCCACAATGTTAGCTTGGTCTTCAAGCTAACAACATGTGTGGCACATGGCCAACTTGTTGACCACGTTTCTAATCCAAAAAATCAATTAAAGACACCTATAAAGTCAAAATAACGTCTATGAAGCTTCTAAAAAGCTTCCATACCAAATACTATAGAATTAATTTATTTTTATTTACTTTTACTTACTTCTACCTATTGTCAAGGACAAGAACTCCATAAAAAAGAAATTCAAATAAGTGAGCCTTCACTCAAAGAAAGGTAACAAAATATAAATAAATAAGTATGTATATTGAAAGAGAAATTGGAATGGCTATTGCCAAAAGACAAGAAGACTAGAGACCCTTGAAACTAGACTAGAAGTAAGAAAGGAGTTGATAAGAGTGAAGAGGGCTTCACTCTTGTTTCTATATATACTATCTAACTAGGAGCTACGTGGTGACGTTTTATATGACATCTAATATGTGTTGACTTTGTAGGATACATATCTTGACTTACAAGGCAAATTTTTCTACGTGTAGGCTACATAGTTAGCTTGATCTTCAAGCTAACAACATGTGTGGCACATGGCCAACTTGTTGACCACGTCTCTAATCCAAAAAGTCAATTAAAGAAACCTATGAAGTCAAAGCAGTGTCTATGAAGCTTCTAAGAAGCTTTCATATCAAATACTATAGAATAAACTTACTTTTACTTACTTTTACTTACTTCCACCTATTTGTATATGTAATTACTAGCTTACATGAGTATGTCCTTGACACCTATTTATATATGTTATTACTGGCTTATATGAGTATGTCCGTAACATTATCCCTCCTTCTAGGGATGAGTTCCACAAAGAGCGGTCATCATATATTGAACAAATCTATGATGCGACAAATTATATTTGCTACATACTTTGATCTTTGTTCTCTTTGAAAATGATTGATAGGGCCTCTCAATCATCGATAGTGTCCCATATCAAGGCAGGAAGACCACCCAATTATTTGATCATTGTTGAGGCTTTCATAACTTCCTTCGAATAGAACATTTGAAACACCATCAAGAGTTGTTTCCACCTCTAGTAAAATTACCAAACATCGGGGGATCCTTCCGAAGTTGTGATATCAAATGCATTGTATCTCACCATCTATTCGAGAAAGAACATGTCATTCTTGAAGATCTTCATCTCGATTGTGTCGTCTTGAAGGTTGTGACAATTGTAATGTCTTGTCCGATAGGTCAGTAAATGAAGGCTCTTGAGTCAAATCCGTGGTTGTTGGTTCTCCATCTCCTGAGCGTCACAACTACAAAGCAGCAACAAACAATGATTGAAAGTAGAATATTATCTTTCCTAGATGTTGTTTCTTTTATAAAGAAAGTTTTCATTTTAATTTTGATGGATGTCGTCAATGAAAAGCCTCCACCGCCTTTGCTGCATTTGTAAGATTTTTTACTGGCTCCCATGTGCGTTCACTAATATCATATCCGCGCCAATGAATAAGATATTTCAATTTATTTTGGCACCGCCTTGAATCTAAGACTTCTTCTACTTCAAACTCTTCATTATTGTCCACTTCTATAGGAGGAAGTGGAGCTTGTCGTCTTCTTGGTATGTCCACTGTCTTGTATGGTTCGAGAAGAGACATGTGAAATACTGGATGGATTTTCATTGACTCCAATAGATGTGAACGATATGCAACTGGATTGATTTGTGTAGAAATAGAATATTATCTAAGTCTTCGATAGTCCAACTTGGCACAAGGACGAGTGGTCTTGATATTACGACGAAGTAGCCATATCTTATCACCCAAGAGGAATGGTGGTTGTTCCTTTCGATAGACATCCGCATTGACCTTTTGTTGTTCTTGAGCCTCTTTTAACTGCACCTTCATCATTGCATGTAGCTCTGATAAATGAATCGTCAAATCTTTCATAGCAGGATTATCAACTTTTGAAAAGTCAAAAGTATCAAGTCATGGATGATAACCATAATTAGTAAAAAAAGGTGTTTTTTTTTGTAGAAGAATATACAATGTTATTGCAAGCAAACTCTGCCAATGGCAAAAGAGTTGTCCAATCATCTTGTTGGTAGTTAATGGTACATCTTAAATATTGCTCCAAAACTTGATTAATACGCTCCGTTTGTCCCTCAATTTGAGGATGGAATGTCGAAGATAGTTTTATATCCTCTTTTACAATCTTAAAAAGAGTCCGCCAAAATCTTCATACAAATTGAGTTTCTTTATCTGATATAATATCTTTGGGTAATCCATGATAGCGATAGATATTGTCAAGAAAGAGCTTAGCTGTTTCTTCACCTGTGATAGATTTTGTACATAGTATAAAATATGCCATCTTGATAAAACGATCTACTATCATGAATATAGAGCCATAAGAATCTGAGATTGGAAGATCCGTGATGAAGTCCATAGAAACAGAAGACGATGGTTGTTCTTAAATAGATAATGGCTCAAGAAGTCCAAAAGGTCGATGACGAGGAGTTTTTGATCTTGAGCAAACATTACATGATTGTATAAAATCTTTGACTACCTTCCACATTTGAGGCGACCAAAAATTCCTAGATATCAGCTCCAAAGTCTTATTGTATCCAAAATATCCTGCTATTAGGAAGTCATGATGAGCTTGAAGAACACGTAAACGTGCTTCTCCTTCTGGAACATAT